AACTGTGCTAACCCCTGTACGGGGCCTCTCTGAGCTGCTGAGTTCTGAGAGCGGTGTCTGGCCAGACTAATAAAGGTCTATTTACCAACGAGCCTGTGTGTTCCTTCCTGGGTGACTCTGGCTGCTCGTCGAGCTCCCGGAGCCTCGCTGAGCTATAGGTCCCGGCATCTTGGAGGCCCTTTGGGCTGTTCAAGGCTCCCGGAAGTAAGGCCCTGGGTCTTGCATAAGGAGCCATCGTTGGCCTATAAGACTCAGCATCGTGAAGTCCCTTTCAGCTGTTCAAGCTCCTCGGAGTAGAAGGGAGTCTTTAGGTCTTACAGCAAGCCCTGTACACTTGACACACTTGCTCTGCAGAGTTGTGTCCTGGTGGCTGAGAATGGCTGGAAGAGCGCATGGTAAGCGCGGGATGTTGTCTGTCGGCTCCGTATCAGAAAGCATTCATTTCTCAGCCAGCAATACAAACAAAGCCGAGCGGCGTGAACGCACTCATTAGACTGTGTCATTCTTTAACAGTCACTGTTAAAAGCACTATTCCTTTCCTAAGTCCAGTGACTGAAATGAATATAGAAATGTTAACTCTTGAGGTTTAGCTATAGGCAAAAACTGAAGCATTAAAAACCAAACTAATACTTAAAAATCCTTTCAATAATCAGTACTGAAATGAAAATTTAAATTATAGTTTATGTGAATCAGTCAGTGTATAATATGTTGTTGAATAATTATTAAATTCCATCAAACTCATAGACTGTTTAAATACCAGAGTAATCTGCCCTATCATTGAGGCCTCACTCTCTTTCTCCATCCTTTCTATTTCTTCTTTTTGTATGTGTTACTTTTTATCTCTTTTCTTTTTCTCTTTCCATTTACGTAATTGCCATTAACAAGCTGGAACATTTTAAATTCAATACCCAAACACTTTTGTTAAAAATTTTTAATAAATTTTTTTTTAGAATTCCAAGTGTGACGCCAGCAACACTCTGCTGCTGCCGTATGCAGATGCCCCTTCTTTTACTCTTCAGCAGGGAAGGAGAAGTAAACTGGCTGGCTGCTCCAGTTGGCTCCTTAACTACTCCTTAGGACTTCGGCTCCAAGCAGACAGGGTGGGTAGGCCTTGGAATCTCATTTAAATGGATTTGGAACAAGGAGCTGAAGCTGCCTATTAAAAAACAAAACAAAAATACTTTGAAACTCGCCAGATTTCTGCCCAGGGCTGTTTCTTTCCTCCCCTATGTCTTCCTGCATAATGGACCTTTATGCTTCATTTTCTGTTTGAACTTCCTCTTGCTCCTGGCTAGTGTTTCTCTTCCTCTGGCTGACTGCTGTATCAATCTACAATCTCAATGATTTCCTCCATTTCCCAGAGCTTGAAGCATCCTAGACTATTGAGGGTTTCTAAAGGCTTTCACTGCTAACACTAAAAGAAAAATAAAGTGAACCAGAGCTCCATCCTGTACTGCCCTGGGAATGAGACTCCTATTCTGGCATTTAATTTCCCAAATCTCTGCTAACTTCTTAAAAGCAGTGCAGTGGCCTAGAAAGAATCTGAACTTTGTTCCGTGGCTACCACTAGTTTTTTCTGCCAGGTACGCCATCTTGGAGAACATGGGTTTGGGTGATACCTATAATAGTGGCAGTTTTGAAGGTGCAGAGAAGGAGCATGCAGGAAAATGAAAGGAGACAGTCACAGACAAAGAATGTCCGGGTGGGGGCTGTCCACTCCTTGCCCAGCTCTTAACGTCACCTGTAGCACCCAAATTGCCCACTGCTATATATTTAGATAAGACTTTAATATTGTTAAACTTAAACACTGACTATACTGAAAGAGTTATTTATGTCCTTTTACTCCGAACTTTAATTTGTGTATTGGGCATGATTGTTTCTGATTTTCTTTATTCTGAAACAAGTACATTCATTTTCTTATTCTTTTCCTAGGAACATATAATTAAGATTATGTGCAAAGAACACTGTCATTATAAACTTTAATTACTGTCCTTCCACACTTGTAAGCTGAGAGCCAAAGAAAAAGATACAGAGATACTCTTCTGCAGTAATTTAAAAGGATAACAGTTCTGACAATGTGCTGCTTCTCTTCACGTCAGCCCACAGCCATCATTTGTAACCATGCCTGATACTCTGGTACTTAGGGAAGCATAAGCATGACTGTCTGAAAGAAAGAAAATTTAAAGTAGCCCTTCCATAGCTTTGGGCTCATTATGGTAGTCAAAAGAAAAAAAGAATGTGGTCTTTATAGGTGGCATGTTCATCATAGTAAAGTTGATTTTTAAAGAGGCTCACTCATCTACTCAGCAAGGATTAGGCCACAAGAGTGAAGGAAGCCAGGGTTTTCTGCAAATTAAGACTTAATTTTTCCTAATTTGACAATGTCTGTAGGTAAGACCAGATGTATTGCTTTCTTCCTTCCATGAAACCAAAGCGTACTCCTTTTCCATTAACTTTGGCGTGCCAAATTTCAGCTCCTCTCCTCGTAGCTGCGCAAAAACAAAATAGCATCTGATAATCTACCAATCCACAAACTGAAGCCAGAAGTTGATGTGATGGTGGAAAAACTATTCTATTCCCACTCACCATTCATTATTTATTCTAGAAATGACTAGACGGAAGGAGAAAAAAATACCTGGAGGATGATTGTAAATGTTAGATCTATGACCAGTTATGATGAAGTTCAAATTATGAAACATTGCAAGGGCTGTCTTTAGGTTAAGCAGACCTAAGTTATTGGAAGGCAGCAAATAGTAACTAAAATGGAAAAGTGGATAAAGCAGAAGGAAATTAGAAAAAAGAATGAGGTTTTTTTTGGGGGGATAAATTTTTAATCTTGTGATTCTAAAAAATATAGGAACTCAAGGAAAGTCTATTCTCCACCAATTTTTGTCCTGTTTTTTAAATTAGTATATTGCCCGTCCTTTTACCCTAATGCGTATGTAATCAGATCAGGATCGGTTTACAGGGCAGGACTCAGCTTTACACACTTCCGAGAAGTCCTGTTTGTTAAAAGTTTGTTCTCTTTCTGAATAAGAGTTTAGAAAAGAAGCTGGGTTGTAGGGCTGGATCTATTGCCCCACTTGTGGCTTGTGCCCGAGTTAATGTGGAAAGCGCACTCACTGGGGTTGGGGCTGAGTCAGTGACTAACTAATGGACAAATTTCTTTCCCTAGTATACTACTTAGTATGTTTCTAAAGTGGATGTCAAGTTATTTTGTTTTCTGTTACACTTTTATTCAGCACATTACCAAAACCCGTACTATGACTCTGCTACTCACAGCTCTATTTGCCAGACTTTTGCTAACAGAAATTAATTACTGTCATAGTCATTGACAGACTGGCTGGATCCTTAATTTTATTCAAAATTCCCAGACTTTGTTATTTCATGCTGCACGTTAAATAATCTTACTTGGAAAAGCATTGTAAAGAGGAAATACAATTTAAAAAGCAGTTAATATAAAACTAAAGTATATATTAAACATTGAGGTTGTTTTACTGACTCCATTATAAAGCAGTAAAACAAAATTTTAATATTTGTGCTTATGTAATTTCAAAGTCCCCTTTTTACTTCTTCCTTCCTTTATAGATTGGAAACCAAAAACAAACTAGAAATGGAGAGCACATGCTAAATAATTCAATCAGTATTTTGTTGTTTCTTTTGAAATAAATTCGTAACAAACCAAGTGTTGGGAAAAAGTGTTATGCACACCTTTCAAGGCTAGAAGATTTCAATTGTACCCTAATACTACATCAGTAAATACACCTGTTAATATTTCAGTTCCAAATTGATATAGTTTAAACATAATTGGTGATTTTTAATTCATTAATAATTTAATCCATTAGACATTTCTTGAATCTAATGAAATGATGTTTTTATATTTGGTTTTGCTATCAGGTTTCTACACTTAATATTATTTTGTTCTTGGAGATACTTTTGATCAAATGACCACTTTATAAAATACAATTAAACATGATACAAGGATGAGACTAGAATGTCAACATGGATATAACTAGCTATTGATAATTTTCCATAAATATTGAGTCTGTGCTCTTGCTCTAGGCCCACAGGATGGTTCTTCCTTCTTATGTAGCCCAACTGCCAAGCCTTTTGTCTCAAATCACATGTGAATTTCTAATACTTACTAATGGTAGTTTAGACACCAGACATAAACTTAAGAAAGATTAGATTTAGGAAGTACACTTAAAGTCTGCTTACATGTGTTTTTGCATACACGTGTGTACACATAAGGAAATAAAACTAACTGAATGTACCATGTATGTAAATGTTACATGGATGCATGGAGGTACAAAGGGAAACTACTCAGCATTGGTTTTGTTTTAACTACATTAATATTCACATCCTAAACAGAAGTACAAAGTGATAATTTATGATTAATGTTGTCTAACGAACAGCTCCCACACAATTTTTTTTGGCATTTTCACTTCTTTTTACCTAGCATTTATTTTTTCCTTCTTTGTTGTGCTAGGAGTGGAGGCAAGGGCCTTGTGCACATTAAGGAAGCATGCACTCTCCCACTGAGCTAAACCCCCAGTCCTTCTACTCTTTTAAGAGTTAGCATTTTAATAATTTATACTAAACTATTATCATTTTCAATAAAATGACTGTGATAAAAAATAAACCAAATGAGTTGTCGATTTTAGTTGTGTAAATTCTTTAAGGAAATCAGTTGAGTTGTTAGAAATAGTAAAAGGCAGTGATGTCCAACTGGTAATGTGTGATAGAATCAGAGTAACTTTTAGGGAAATTTTAGCAACCGACTTTATACTAGCATACAATATATAGATAATAAGACCTTTTAGAATTGCTGAATAAATAAGTAAATGAAGCTCTTGAAAATAATTGCCTAGACAGTCCCTGGTAGCAACATGTTATAACAATAATGCTTACTTTACACAGGGCAGTGAAAGACTCTTTAAAACCCTTTGTTCAGGACATGGCAGTTTTACTGAAGTTTGTCTCATGCCCTGCACATGCTGCCAGTGAGAGGGACCGGCTCCCTGTGGTTTTGTGCCCTGAATGAGAGTGACGGAGCACTGCATGATGTGTTTGATGCCTTGCATGCGGAAGACATGCAGAGGCAGGGTGCAGTCTGCATGCTGCTTAATGAATGTTTTTCCTTTTCTCTCCCTCCTTGTCATGTGCTTTCAGAAGACAACAATGTGGAAGGTGGGTGCTTTCTACCTTATTTTCCAACTCTCATTTACCTTTTATTTCTTAGTATTGATAGAGTACATCTTGGATGTAGAAGGTAAGTTCAGTTTCTTTCCGAGCATTTCTTGATTTCTGGAACATGTATCACTTTTCATAGAGAACACACCCACTCAGATCTCTGTCAGCCTCCCATGTATGAAACTCTTCAGTCTCAGAGCAATGCTTGGTGGATTTCACCATCTTTTATGAACCATTATATACTGACTGCTGTGTTCTGTATGGAAAAGTGATACTATGCTACTTTTTAAAAAAGGGGAAGTATTTCTTTGCCGTTTCAAGATAGTGCATGATCTTTTTTTCATGTTTTTCTTTATTCTTTTCTGTTGGAAATGTTTGGCATTATATCATTTTCAGGCTTATTGCTTTGTTTCAAATGGTTTCATTTATAAACAGTATAGAATCAGTTACTGACTATAAATAAGAGGCACAAATTTAGCTTAAAAAAACACAGCCAATGGAAAGGAAGGTACACAGCATTCCTGTGTGATTATTGGTAAGTACATTTGTAATAGTCTGTGTCTATTATAAGTATAACATTTAGTTTAACCTTTTAAAATTTTTCTCTATCAAGGAATTTTGAGACAGTTATACATTTTCTTGTAGAATACAACAAATGCATTTCAATATTTTTATTTTAAATTACTTAAATTCATTAGTGAATGTGTTGTCACCAAATCTTCAGAGGATACACATTCAAAAGGACCTAGATATAACAACAGATTTGTGAAAGGGAATGTTCCATCTTACACACATTCTATCATTTTATATAATCATAGCATGAACACTTCTTCCATAATCAGTTTTGCAGAAGACAGCATTTAGGACATTTTATTTTGCTGTCATATTTTTAAATATAATCATTTTGTAATATGTGTGGATTTCTACAGATTAAAAGATTTCTTAAAAAGACTCCCCTGCCTGAAGTTACAGATAAATTGCCATTAAGGTTAACAAGACTTAATATTTCAAAATAAAAGGATACTTCATGATACACAAAGTTGATTAGTAGCAGAGTTCAATATCTTCTCTGTGATTCTCTCATGGACAGTGTTATAACTGCTGCTAACCATTTCTGTTATTTAAGTAAAATAGACTAAAACTTCAAAAGAAATAATAAATCTTCTTTCCTATTGTTGGCTCTGAATATGGCTCTGTTCTGTCTTTCAATTTTAATGGCATGTGAGCATATACTTGATAAAGATGATATTACCCTTCAGGTCTGATATTTTTCTAAATCAGTCTCATTTATATCGTGCATATAAACTGAGTTTGAAAGTGGTTTGTAAACGATACCTTTTCAATCTCTTTTATATTTCTTTAACCATCCTGTAAAACGTTGCATTTTTTTTCTTTAAAGCCAATTGCATTCCAAGGAGTTTTAAAAATAAATCTAATTAGGTTGAATGCCTTTCTGTTCTCACATTCATTCCATGCAAAGTTTTGATACGATTCTCAGAATATAGTTTCATAAATTATTGTAATAAAGTTTATTCAGTCTTAATTTTAATATTCCTGCTTATAAGAAGGCTTTGAGAATGTAGTGAGCTCTCCTTAGAGGCAAGAAGTCCAGCAGGGGCAGGTTGAGCATTTGTGGGATTTATTAAATTTCATCTTTATTCATGCAATGCCAAAACCATTAGAAATGTCTAACAGTATTTTCTAAAAGTTAGATATTATCACAGATAATTCCTTCATTTAGCCTATAAAAAGTAGTAAATTGTTAATAGAAATGTGTGTGTGTATATATATATATGTATGTATACATATATATGTGTGTGTGTGTATCAGTTTTAAAAGTTAAATGAAAAATTACAAAACCTGGACTTATCAATCATACTTATTCATCCTATAAAATATTGTGTGTAATTAGCAGATTATAAACCTTTTAGTTTACTTATGTGCATTTTTGGTAAAAACAGTAACAAAACAGAGAGACTATACTACAGAAACATCAAATTATTTTGTTAAATTATTTCCATATTTTATTTTTATATGAGAATTTATAATTATTTCTGCCTCCAAAGGATGTTTGTATACCCCTAAGCTTGTTAAAAAGCAAAGATTATTTTAGTATTGTGCAACTAATACATAATGTGTTATCACTGTATTAAAGTTTCAAGTATATCTGAAATAGCACTAGGAATCTAAAATACACTGTATCCATTCTGTATTGCTCCACCATTTACACAAATTCTTGACATATATGCAGGTTAAAAATATCTTTATGAACTTACTGTAAGGGATATTCACTGCTTTTCAATAATCAATAGCATCTTGATAATGAAAGACCTTTTTAAAGGAGCATTTGCAGTACTTTTTAAAAAGAAGTGATCTTCACTTTGAAGTTAAATGTTAAGCAGGAAATAAGTAAAATGATTTTAATACTATAAAAAACATTTCTTGATGAAATGTATCTTAAAGTTTAACTTAACAATTCACCGTTTAACCTTTAAATAAAATGTTAAATAACTACTTGAGCCTATTTAAGAATGATGCATTGTTTCTTAAAGATAATATTTTATAGTAAGTTCTAACTTCACAACTGCATGTGTCCTGATTTTTTTTAATATGAATAAGCCTAGTCAATTTCTACATGTGTGAGGCAAGGAGACATCTTTGCATTATCATTTTCAGTGTGACTAAGGATTTTTTTTTTCATTTAATTATGAAACTTCTCATTTTTGATGAGGGGAAAAAGATCAGACCCAGCCCATATTTCAGGCATTCCTTTGGGATATTAAAAAATGCAATTTCATCACTGAAGAATGACAAGTCCAATGGGGGCAAGGTTCAAAACAATGTCATCAAAAGGCACAAAGGGCATATGTAATATTAAGGGACTGGTTAGATTTTAAATCATGAGCATATGTTTGTTCCAAATGATATTTAGAAGAAATACGCAATGCAGCATATGCCTGTGTTTAAATTACTGTTCTATAACTCTTTGCCCCAAAGCATTCCAACCAGGGGTTGAAAGAATGCTTTTTATTTGCATCTGTGGTACAGACATGTCTCGTAGGAAACAAGATGTCTGTCACTGAACATTTTTTGTCACTGTGACCCACCTGCCTTCCCATGCTCCCTTGTTTATTGCTGACTGTGCTCTTGTTTCCCTTCAAGGTCTGGCGCACCTGATGATGGGCGACCAAGGTATGGGCTCTGTTCCTTTTCCACTCTGCTTCAGTGTCTTGTTGTTTTGTAGCTGCTTTCCAACCATCTCTGCAAAAGATGGGCACATGCTTGCAAATTTTCTGGCTGCAAAATAAATACATAGCTTCTGTTCATATTTTCTGATGTGTTTTCCTTGCTTTGATTTCATGGTTTGATTTTGGTTTGCTACTGTGACTTTTATTTTTCATTTATTGTACTATAATACCTGCAGATAAATGAGACATAAGAAATTGTGACTGAAAATCTCTGTACATTTATTAGCATATGCAGTTACATATGGTTATAGTAAAAAAAAGGCTAAGAAATGTTGTAAGTGTCTGAAGGAAAATACTTAGTTTGACCTACAGTACCAAAAAGAGTTCATATTTCATCTGTGCATGGCAATTTGGAAACATGCAGAATCTTTGGCTTTTGACTCCTAGAATGCTGAATGTAGTGTTCCATGGAACCAACACTACTTCCATTTACAATTACGTGTGCCTTCCTTTTGTGTAATGTTTAATAACCAGCATGGGGCTTCTAATTCCTGCATGCACATGACTTTTAAAGGGCAGAATTCTCAGAATGTACTGATTGCTTCTCCATTTGTCTTTAAAACCTTATCTGTATTTTCTTGTCTTGTTTAATTTTCAGAGAGCAGTGCATTTACATATATTCATAATTCTTATTGTTGTTTTTCTCCTCTTTACTCTCTTTGTCTGGAACACCTTTCTTCATGGAACCATTTCATCAAATGCATAGGTAAAAGTAAAGGTATTACATTATTTTTTTCCAAATATCATCTGTATAAATTACATTGTGTCTAAGTTATGCAAATATATTTAGTCATTTTGGCATTGATAATAAGCCCTGGGAGGTAGGTATATGTATTAATGAATATTTATACATTTAAGGTAAGAAAAATTCATCAAAGTGTTTCTGTTCCACAGTCCTTCACCCTCTCCTTTTTCTATCTTTTTTGCTTTTTGTGGAGTGGTATTTTTTCATGTCAGCTGCTTACATAATTAATATATGTAGAAATTAGCTACAGGTCGTGGTGTCAGTTTCTGCATTATTATTTAGTGGTAGCTCTGTGTGGAATGCGGTAACCATAAATGCATCATCTGCAAACATTTGGCTGTGGTGGAGCCCACCTGCCCCAGCTGTGAGCTGTAAGTCTAAGCATGTGTGGCGCCGAAATGGCACTGCTGTGGGCTCCTCATCTGTTGTCTGCTGTGTCTTGTGTGCACAATACCTCCATGGTAACCTCAAAGACACTATCATGAAAAAGAGAAGCAAAACAAGCCTGTTTTTTATGTGCACTAACTTTAAGAGCATTATCAGCCAGCTATATATTCCTGCATCATTTGGTAAGTCAGGCATGTATGCTTTTGCCGGTGTTCGTACAAACCTCAGAAGCATGTTTAATTTGCCATTTAGGACCATCCACGTTGTGTTCAGTGTTATTTTTGAAAGAAAATGGGTGATATACAGCCGTAGCAAACGTATAGAATAACATTGAACCATTTTTTTAAATGTGCCCTTGGTCTCCAGTTTTTAAATTTTTATCATTTCATATTCAGAAATGTGTATTATTTTGTATTCTCTGCATCTTTCTTATGCTTCAAATATTAACACAGTGAATTTGGACCAAAGCTTACAGTTGTACACTTTACATTTATGTCATCTAGCAGAGAAACTTTTCAGCTTGTGAAAGCATCTAAATATGAGCCAAATAATAAGTAAGAAATGGTATCAACGTTTCAAATGTGTAAAATGGAGCCTTAGAAACAAATGCTGTTTGGATACTTTGAATTAATAACATATGCTACTGTAGTTTTTGTTTTGGTCAACAATTTCCAGTAATAACATAATTAAATCTCATTTCAAATCTTTAGTAACATGCAAATGACAGTATATATCAATTCTTTTAAAGATTTTTATATATTATTTGGGGTGCTTCCTGAACAGTTTTATTTGAGGCCAAATTTCCATGAACTGACTGCTAACTATCAAGTGGTATTCTGGCTGTTATTTAGTGAACAAAGGATGGCCTAGGGGGAACTGTATGTTCTATTTTACTGGCTGAATAAAGTACATTTATTTGTACATCTCCTTGTGTATATTTCTATTTATGCATGCATGTATGTACACACATTTCTAAGTATGCAAATTAATATTCATTTTTTGTGAAAAAGTAACCCTTAATTTTCTAATTCTATAACCATTTAACACTACATATGGAATAGTTCATGTTTATATTTAGTTCATATCTGTTTTGGTGTACTTAATGTTGAGTGTCACTTCAGTTTTACTGTATCAGTTTTAAGCGTTTTTCTGTTGATGGGTGTACCAAACATTTTATTTTGCCAGTTTTAATAAAATTTTGTCCCCCAGTCACCACAAAGCTACAGATGACATAAAGTTAATTTTTCCATTGCATTCTTCTTTTATTAATGGTACTAGGATGCTTTTTGATGGTAAATAGGGAAATGTGATTTTAAAATAGAGTTACGTATTTTGAAAATTAGACTGGTCACCATTTCATATTGGTTAATTGGGTACCTAGAAATAAGAAACAGTGATTTGTCTGTCTTCTGTATTTGCAAATTAATTTAGTCTACATTGAAGAGCAAAATATTATTCTGTTACATGGCATGATTTATATGAATCAAGATCTCTTATTGCTATAAATCTCTGCCTTGAACCACCTAGTGGAGGAGTCAAAAATGTCTAAAGCTTTACATTGTGGCTTTCTGTGTCAGGCTAAATCTTGTTTATACCTACAACAGGTGTTAAACCTGGCCAGTGTAAAGTGACCAGTTTGTATTGTAAGCTCCCATTTTTCATATCTTTATAACATTTTATGATCCTGGATTGCTGTTTTCCACACTATTTTTCTGCGGAGCAGTGAATTCAGTGACTTTAGAATAAACTGTCAACTTTAATGAATCAGGAAGTGAAATTGGATTCAAGAACGTTATCATTTTGATTTCCTCTGTATGAATTCTTAATATTGTGTAAATATTACGTATCCAGGGATACATTATTGCATTCACATTAAAGGATTAGTTATACATCTAAAAAGAGCCATCCTTTAGATGAATTTCTTCATCATGTTTTCCATTCCTCTCTGCAGAAGTGAGTGCTGGTATCACTTTGTGATGGGCCCTTGGAGAATTGGGGTGGGTCTTTCCTTGTCCATAGTGTCTTAGGGCTTAGAAGCTGTAAAACACCATTTGGATGTGTCAGACAACTAAGTCAGACAGAGAGAAGTGTTAGGATCTCTGTTATGTGCTGGCAGAATCCAAACCAAGGAAATGCAAGCTAGCTAACTCTCCATAGGCCATACTGCCTCGTATCTTCAATTGGTGGTTCTATTTTAAACTTTTGTCAATTGTTTAGATGTTCTTTCAGGATTTTCAAATAATGCTATTTCACCTTCAACTGGATATGTATGACTAGGAATAAAACTTCATTTAAATGTATTGTAGTTTTCTTTGGAGAGCTGAGGACGTACTCCATCCAAAGTTAACCTTCCTGCTGCTGGTTGTGGGTAGATGGATTCAAATAGTCTTTGTGAAGTTTTGTTTGCATTATTTCCTGGTTAGAAATTGGTCAGTGATGTTGTTAGGATCATTGTAATGCTAACATTATTCTCCTTTCTCTTCAGAACTCAGGTTCATCTATTTTCCTAGAAATTTAATATTTCTTCTTTTCTTTTTATGTGTTGTTTTGTGTATGATCATTTCATTCCAACAATTGGTTGTGTGTTTAAATTTTACTCTACTGACTCTTTGAGAGAAATGAATGGCAAATAAGTCAGAGAGTCAAACTAAGTTATATGAGCAAATCCAGCCTTAACAACTGGTTCGTAGTTCAAGAACACAGGTTAATAATTGTCAATTAAATGTTAGAGCTTTGATTAGAGGTCTGTACTTTTCCTTCACAATAATTATACTTGTAATTGTGCATTTATATACATGGTTGCATTTAATGTCAAGTTTATCTAGTAAAGTGTAAGCTCCACGAGGGCAGGAAGTTTGACCTTGTATTTCTTGGACATTTTTCTAATTGAATTTTCCATTTTTCATGACCTAAGTATATCATGGGGAACCTTGGTGAAGAAGGTAAATAAACACAGAGAAGAAGAGAGTTGAAGTGATAATGCAAAAGTGGGAAAAGGCAGTGGACATTTATTGAAATAATACAACAAATTGATGCCAAAAATTGTATGGAACTTCTCTATCTCTGTTTCTAAACTTTCTTTTCTCTTATAATTCGTATCCTTTCCCAAAGCTGTGATATTTCTTTCTAGCACAGCATTATGATATCACTTTTATATGCTTAGCATACACACTGCAGTTGGTCTGTAAGGAAATGAAATCAATGTGTTTTTGTGTTTAAGGTTTTCAGATTTTTTGACATCATTCATTGTTACAGGGATACGTAATCAAAATGTATTTTTGACCTTCCCTAGTCATGAGATATCAAGTATATGACTTCCTGAAATTCAAATGTGATGTTTTGTTATCTTCTACGGTCTGTATGAATTTTTTTCTTTTCTAAGTTTATTTCAGCTTTGCTATACCCTAAGACCTATATTTAAATGAAAAGTATGAATAAAATGAATGTTAACCTGTCAGAAAACTCAACATTTAAGTCTTGTCTTATGATATAAATACATGTGGGACCTTGCATTTTTAAGTTCTATATCATATTTACAAAATAGGGATCCTTTGGACTCTATCCATTACCAATATACTTATATTATTAGCCAAAGTTGTACAAGTGGAACTGCAAGTTACAATAACGCATTTTAAGAAGTACATTAGCTTTGCTGTATTAGTGAAATGTAAATATCGACTCATTAGAATCATTAAAGGAAACTAAAAATAGATTTTTCTCAAAATGAATTAATATCTGGACATAATTTATTCCTCTACAATTCTTTGATAAGCAGCATTCACTATTGTCTTGAGGTATATAACTATCTGCTATGTCACATCATCATATTCTATTTTACTTGCTCTTAAAATAGATTTAATGTATATAGAAAAGTATAGATTATTAAACATTTTTATATTTTCTTTCATTTATATCTTAGTTCATTCAGGCTGCTGTGCAAAAAGACTGTCTTCGTAGCTTATAAACAAAAATTTGTTTCTCATAGTTATGAAACTAGGAAAGTCCAAGGTCAAGGTGTCTGGTGAGGGTCCATTTACTGGACTCTGGAAGAAGTCTTCTTCCCGTGTTCTCATATAATGAAAGAAGGCAGGAGAGCTCTCTGGAGTTTCTTTGGTAAGGGCACTAACACATTCATGAGAGTTCTGCTTTAGAACCTAATCACCTAATGTCTCACCTCCAGGTCCGTCACCTTGAGTGGTAGGCTGTCAACAAGTGAAATCTGGGGAGCACATGCATCCAGAGCATAGCAGTTTCCATGACTTTTGTTACTGTCCTTCAGCTCTTCCATTGCTATATAGCTGATTTGTTGGATGTGCCTAACTTCCATTTATCAGCATCCTAATATATTTTTTAATTTCCTTTTTTTAGTTTATCAGCACGTGCATGTATATGTATTTGTTTAATAATTATAAAATACATTTTACTGTGATTTCTAATATAGAACTAATTTAATTGACAATGTATTTGTTTTGTTTGGATTTATTTGCTTATTCATTTGGTAGTGGGGTCAAATAAAGGGCCTTCACACTGAGCTACATATCCAGCACCTTTTAATTTATTTTTATTTTGAGATAAGGTCTCCCTAA